ATCGATGCGTTCGACTCAAGCAAATTTTTTTTTTTAAAAAAAAATAAATAAATAAACGAAAACGACTAGAAAAAAAATCCTAAAGCATGCAATCTAAAACATATAAAGCACATAAAAAGTGTTTTTTTTTTTTCACCCCCAAACTTAAAATTTACATTGTCCTCAATGTAATTAAAACGAAGTGTAAGGATAGAATACACCTTGATTAGTCGAAACTTCCTCCACGTGTTGCACCTCTCCATCTCTTCCTCTTTCAAGCAAACTTTTTTTTTTTCGACCTAAAAATTCAAACATGATTAAATTATTAGATTGCAAGCTTATATATATTCTAAGAAAATTAAAAGCAACTAAAAATACGAAAATATATGAGAAAAAAAAAACGATAAATGCTCGGGTTGCCTCCCGAGAAGCGCTAAATTTTATGTCTTCAGCCGGACTTTGCTTCTTGAAATTGTTATGTCCAATCCAAAGCCTTGTAGATTGCGCATCCATCCATGAGCTCTATCACTTCAATTACAACCAAGGCATGGATAGTATTGCAATATGTCATGGTCCACCTTAGCTTGTAGTCTTTTTTTGTTGTAATCAATCGGTACGAAACTAATATGGGATCTTCATCACCAGCTCCCTCAAATCGGTACACAAAAACCTCACGTCCGCGTATAACCTCCACTTCAAACACATTCGTCTTCTCATCAACCTCTATTGATGTCTTCAAATCTACATTTAGATCAACGACAGGGTCCACAACTAGAATATCTTCAATCATTACATCCATCTCCTTCTTCTCTTGTTCTGAGGCATCTTCGTGGTTTAGCTCGATTGCCTTCTCAGGTTCATCATGCTCAAGTGTCTTCGTAATTTCAATTTCTCTCATACCGACACTATTTTCTGGACATGGAAGATTTTTCTCACCGCAAGCTTCACCCGAATTTTCTTTGATGTAACCATTGCCGATTTCGTCTGGAATATTTTCAAGAGATTCAGATTTTAATTTGAGCGTCATCTCTTCCAGTTGTATCTCCATGTTTCGAAATGATGCTTGAGTGGACTTCATGAATTCGGCAATGAGGGATACCAAATCAACTTGTTCATCAGTGGTCTGCTGCTGCTGCATTGGATAATAATTTTGAAAATCATCAAATTGTGGCTCTCTATGTTGAAACTCGTTCAAATCTTGGTCTTGAAAGCTTTGCTCGTATGTGTTGGTGTAAGTGTTCCAATAATCTCCGTTGGTAATTTCGACGAAATTTGTCGCTTTTGGTGATCCCCAACATTGATCGGAATAATGATTTCCACCACATGCGGAACAAAGCGGAGGCATATCATAGGTGTTTTGGAGGTATTCGTCAGATGGAAGCCATTCATATCCCATTTGAGGTGCCCCAACATTGTAACCAAACATGTAACAAAAACAAAAAAATCAAAATTAAAAATAAAAATTAAAATTAAATGGCTGAAGTAAGAAAAATTGCTCAAATTTGATATTAGAATAAATAAATAATTTAGCCGTATTCCCCGGCAACGGCGCCAAAAACTTGTTGGGTGCTAAATACCCACACGCAAGTGCACGTATCGCAAACAAGTAGTAAAGTAGACTCGTGAGAGTCGGATGTCGATCCCACAGGGAATACGCAAATTATTTAATCCTAAGTACCAAATTTTAACAATTATGATTTTTATTCAGCCTACGCAAGTTTGTCAAATTAATTAACTAAATAAATTAAACTAATTAAGAAAGCAATTAAACAAGATAAAATATCAATATAAAACAGATCTAGGATTTTATCTTCCCCCTATGCGATAATTCTTCACCGAATTAATCTCCTATCATGCAAGTTATGATTCCCGATTATTAACCCAAGACACGAAATTACTCATAACCAGCTGTCGCTGTATTATAAGTCTATTATTCATAAAAGATTCACTATATGTCTATGCAAACCTAGTATAAATAAAGCATTAAATAACAAGTCTCGTAAACGGCTACCTAAGGTATTATCTATATGTCTACGATAATACATACAATTAACACACTCATCCGGTGAAAACTACTCGAAGGCTCTTCTATCCATGTTCTAATTATTAAAACGATATGTCAATCAATTCTAACAATAACAAATATCAACATAAATTAGCTACGTTCATGCGCTAAATACGATCAAAATAGAAGAAATAATCGAAGAATTAAACTTGCATAAAAGTCGAAAAAGAGGTTCGAATTACCACATAGGGTTCCAATAAAATCCTAGATTAAAAACTTAGCTACTCGTAATTCTTATGATAAACAAAATAAAAATAAAAGAAATAAGAAAAACTATGCTTGAGTCTTCGTTGATCTTCGTTCTTCGTGTTTTGTGGTGTAAAATTTCGTGCTTATGGTGTAGAGACATGTTGCTTTTATAGGCTTTTCTTGATAAGGAAGTAGTAGAAACCTAATAGGAATCAATTTCCGCCACTTTCCCCCATCAGGACTTGTTCTTCGATTTTCGCCATGTTGGAGTCCGAATTTTGAAATATTGTGTAAATACGAATTGTAGCCCTTGAAATTAGCTTTCCAATGCCGCCAAAATCACCTAATTCGAAGTTTGTATGAGAGAGATATGCTCGAAATCGTGGACACTGTCAAAGTTGTGGCGAGATTCCTTCTTCCAATTTGATTTGTTTCCTTATTTGCAACTTTTTCCTTTCTTTTTGATCTTTTTTCCTTCATGGACACCTAATTCTCGTTTTTTACCTATAAAACACAAAATCAATCAATTAAAGCACAAATATAATTAAATCTAAACAAAAGATCCACGTAAAGTAAACGTATTGTGTGTAAAATCTACACTCAACAGCGATATAACTAAACTTACGAGCAATGTTGTGTGCACAGAAGATTTTCAGCGAATATGAAGGTAAATCACAAACAAATGTATATTTTGATTCAATAAATCATTTTTTTGGTATTATTTACATGTATATCAACTGTTCAAAGTTTTCGTTCGTTTTATTTTATCCATTTTTTTTTTCTAAAATTGATCCCGTGCATCGCACGGGTGAATTACTAGTTTCCATTAAAAAAAACACCTGCAACAAAAGAAAAAAATAGCAAATTGAAATTGAATTCACGGTAACTCGAAATGGAAAGGAAAAAAACAACATCAGCCAAAAATAAGGTGGACGTTTCGGTTTAATGAATAGGATAGATGTTGCAACCAAAACCTGATATATAAGCGAACGTATGTGGGAGTTATGAAAAGAACGTGTGTGACTAGGTGTATATCGTGTAGTAGGTTTTGCGCCTAGTGAGCCTAGCAGATGGTTTGGAAGTTTATTATTCCGGCAATTGTAATCAAATTTGAAAGGAAGAAAAAAAAAAGGAAAAAAGAAAAAGAAAAGGACGTGGATTCAAAAAAGAAAAGCGAAAGAGAAAAAAAATCTGCAAAAATAGGAAAAATTACTAAATTGCCCATATGTTTAGGTTTGGGTTTGGGTTTAGGTTTAGGTTTTAGTTCAAAATATTTTCCTTTTATATATAAGATAAATAAAGGCAGATTTAATCTATACGACAAAATTACCACCAATCCTTGAAACACAATTCCTAGTTATAACCCCAATTTTACTTCAATTTCATCAATTTTGACCAAAAAAATCAAATTTTGACTTTTCTCTATCAAACTTCTTTTTTTTTTTTTTTTTTTTTCTGCCGCCCGTTTCCGACGTTTACTTTTTCTGAATTTTATTTTTGAAAGATAAAATCTGCTTTTTTTCTTTCCCGCCTGCCGTGAACAAGTGACAGTATTATTATTGTCGTTGACAGTAAAATTACTGTATACACAACAATATTACTGTAAACCACATCGATATTTTTTTTTTAATTGTTGATGGTCAATGTAATAATATTAATGTCTACTATTGTAATATTATTGTGGTTGACAGTAAAATTACTGTAAACTAGGAGTGTAAATGAGACGAGTCGGCTCCTAAGCTCGGTGAGCCGACTCGACAAAAGCTCGAACTCGAAACCGAATTTTTCGAGCTCAAGCTTTCTAACGAGTCGCCCGAGCTCAGTCAACGAGCTTTTTTATTTTATTTTAATTTATTTTTTATTTTTATTTTAAATATAATTAATATAAAATAAGTAATAATTTAATATAAATAATTAAAAAAAATTGCAGGTCATTTTTTTATTTCAAATTTTCTTTATTATAATTTTTAATAAAAAAATTCTAAACATAATAATAAAAAATTAAAAAAATAAACAAAATAGCTCAGGCTCAAGCTCGAGCTCGAACTAAAAAAATAATACTCGAAGAGCTCGAGCTCGTCAAAATAGATGCAAGCTCGAGCTCGCCAAACAACCATACTCGGCTCGAACTCGGCTCGTTCATACCCCTACTATAAACACAATAATATTATTGTCAACCACATCAGTTTTTAACTTTTTTGGCTTTTTTTTTGTTTTGTTTCATTTGTTGACATCAACGTAATAATATTACTGTCTACTATTGTAATATTATTGTGGAAAAAAAAAAGCCAAAAAAATAATATTGACGTGCTTGTCAGGAATATTATTGTGTTTACAGTAATATTCCTGTCACCGGATAAAGGATCGAAAAATCCCTCCATGATGGGCTTATTTGTAATGGACCATTTATAAAAACCCTTATACTATTTTCGGTATAAAGGGTAAGTAAACGGTTATTTCTATTTTGCACCTGTGAAGGCTACCGGATGATTTTTTATCGTTGATCTACGCACACCAATGGGGATGTGTATGTGTTAGCGTTTAAATTAATGGTCTACCTGGTGTATTTCACTCTGTATAGCATAGGATATAAACCAAAGTAAACGAGGTGCTACAACGAAATTCACACATTAAATGATATTCAACGTCTCTAAATAAAGAAAACAAAATCATGTGAAGGTTTTACGTTAATTAGTTTCTAATGTTCCACTGAAGAAACTTGATCAAGAATGTTGCGAAAAAGTTCTTCGTTTTAAATAGTGATTAGTAATGACATACAATACAGAGTATCATTATCAATGACATCAATTCATGTTCTCTTAAGACATTAATCAATAAGAGAAAGATCATTGTGAACGAGACGGAAGAAGAAAAGGGTGTGTGCGTGTGCGCGTGTGATCAATGATCATACATACATACATCTACTAATCCCATCTAACCCTGCAACCGTTAATTTGTAAGGTATGGATAATTTGAGAAGAAAGAAGTGGCCTAAGGGAGGCGAGCAACTTGACCTTTTTGAGGCGTGCACATGATGCTCTAAGGGCTAGCTCGAACCCATTTACCGATACATTATCAAGATTAACTAACTTTGCATCTTGTAGACGAGTTAAGTTCCCCATCACCATGCATAGTCCCACATCCGATATTCCAGTTCCGCCGAAATTCATCTGCCACCATCAAAAATTAGTTACCATATATCATGTCAATTAAAACAATCCATACCATTATATATGTCAATTAAATAATTACCTGCTGCAAATTTGTTGAATAGTAAGCCATGGCCCAAAATCCAGAATCGTCAACGTTTTGACAATTTTTGAGATCCAATTCAGATAATCTCCTGCATCCAGCCGCAAGTTTTCTCAATCCAACCCCACTAATCTTCGGAAGACTTCGTAATTCCATATCCGAGAGTTCATCCAGACAGCTCAGATATTCCATCCCTCTGTCACTAACTTTATCGCAGTAGGATAAAATTAGTCTCCGTAGTTTTTTGCAGCCACGTGACAGAGCAGCTAACCCATCATCACCTATTTTTTTACACCTGCAGCAAATTAAATTAACTTAGAATGACAAAAGCAAGAGCATTTGTTTGTTGCCGCCTTGATTAATTCTGGAATTTTACCTGTATAAATCGAGTTCCCGAATCTTAAAGCAATTCGAAGCGATATATGACAATCCCTTGTCTGAAATATTAGTGCACAGTCCAAGTTTCAAGGATACAAGCTCCGAACAATTCGATAGATATTTCAAGCCTGCAAAAGCAATTCAATTATTAATAACAATAATAATGCCTATTACATTAAAAATGTTGAATAAAAGATTTACCTGTGTCGTTAATTCCAGAACAATCGGTAAGATCAATCTCCTCAAGTTTGGTGCAGTGTGAAGCAAGATAGCGGAGACTCGTCTCGCTGAGTAAGTTGCAGCACTCTAACTTAAGGCATAAAAGATCCCGACAAGAGTACGAAATTGCTAATATTGATGAATCAGTGAGTTTGCTACAACATGTTAAATTAATTGTTTTCAAATTCCGACAGCCAGAGACGAGATCCATAATTCCCATGTCTGTCACACTGCATTTTCCAAGCCCTATTTCTGTTAATAAATTGCAATATTGGGAAATTATTTTGAGGGTAGCATCAGAAACACGTGCCCCGTCAATCCTCAGCACTTTCAAACTCGTTAGATCCTTAAACTGCTCCACTAAACTCCCGTCAAGCTCCTGATAATGCAAAACCCGTAATAGTATACACAACTTAATTACTTGTAAACAAGTGATGAAAGATAATTTACAACTGAAATATTAATATAATTTTACTTACAGAAAAACAATAGCTGGCGCAAATATGCAATAAGTTGTAATTATGTCCTTTGATGACTGAAACTAATGCCGACGAGCTCAACCTCTCACACCTTGATATATCTAGTACCTACAAGAATTTGCAAATATGATCACTCATCATGATTTCCTTAACATGATTAATTAATTAATTAATAGTAATTACTCGCCAATCACAAAAATGCATATTACATGAAATATGATTTTACTGTAGTTTGTTGAGAAAGAAATATGCCAGTCTCCACAAAACAACCTGAAAAAATGAAATGTCTCATTCTCCTACTCTCTTCATTCTCACTCTATCAATTATCCTTTCGTTACAAGAATAAATAAATCAAAATCACCATCTAATATAAAAACACAAACTTATATCCCAAAAGTTTATCTCTATTATACCTTCATTTCTTTTCGTCCAACAAATCTAAGTGGCAGTTATTGTTCCCGAGAATTAAATTTCTGAAAAAATATTATACTAGAGAATTGAAGTTCGATTGTGCATGAATACTTAAAAGTCGCCGGTGTTGAATTTTGCCGCTTAAAATCGAGAGCCAAAACACTAATAAGTGAAACTAACTATTCTAAGAGCTGAATTCCGAGATTCAAACACTTTCTTTATACACATATATAGTTGGGGGACAAAAATAATTCCTTGCGTATGGAATGTATAACTAGAAATCTGTTTCACTATGGAAAAATAACAAATAAAATAGAACTCCATAAAAAAAAATTGACTTGGATTGGATAACAACAACCACGTACGGCTATCCGAATTAAAGCAAAAGGAGGCAAGAATATATAACTTATGTATAAAATTGTGCAAGTAACCTGCTGAGATTTCTCAAAGTTGATCAAATAAATAAAAGACTGAAATGGAAATTCATGGCATTATATAAGAATAGATGAATTAATGTATGAATGAATCTCTTTTACGAAGTAAATGAAAAATGATAGTAATTAATTACCTTAAGCGAAGGGCATCCTTTTCCAATATAATGCAATCCATTATCATCCACAGATCCACATCCCACCATTTGCAGTATTTCCAACCTCCTCATTCCACCAATCCAACGCAATGACTCGCTAGAAACCTTAATCAACTCAAATTAACTTATTATTACACCCAACACCAATACACCAACACATTAATTAATATACATAAATATATGTAGAGGTGTGAATGAATGAATGAATGAATGAAAGAAAGAAAGAAATACCTTCAAGTATGAAATGTCGAGATGTTTCAAAAGAGCACATTTGCTGGATAGAAGTTGAAGGCCAATATCTGTGATATCGAAGCACCACCTGAGAGATAGTTTCTCGAGGTTCGGACATCCGACAGCTATTTTAGCCAATCCGACATCGCTTATATTCATACACTTGTCCAATATAAGTTCCTTCATACCAGCAGCCAAAGAAAGAGCCGCCGCCTCGAGATCTCCAAACCCAGAACAATAAGACACGTCAACACTCTCTATATTCACGCAGTTCTTCATAAGCATTGATAGCCCGTTGAATCTCAACCCGGAGCACCGACTCAGACTCAGCCGCTTTATCCTGTGTGTCCAAATCTGGGCGGCTGTGTTTGGATTATCAATTATTAGGAAGAGGGAAGAAACAGCTACGTCATCTATGCGTGGACATACGGAGAGGTCGATTGAGTTGATGCGTGGGAGTTTAAAGAGGAGGGATGATATGAACTCGGGTCTGAGTATCCGGATATGTGTTCTTTGGACCGAGTCGACCCGGTAAAATGTCTTGCATGTGCTGCGGAATGATTTCCGGTCTGACTCTCCGCTCAGTAGAGATCCGATTATTAAGAGGATGTCGTCCGATAAGATTTTCAGTATTGAAGGAGACGATGACTCCATTGTTTAATTTTGGGGGAAATTAATTCAGGTTATTGTACGCGATGATGCGAATACAGTACAACAACAGTACCATATGATGAGAGAGAGAGAGATAAGTACCTGGTGTGTGTGTGTGTGTGTGTGTGGGTTAGAGAGAGAGAGAGAGATAGGTTAGAGAGAGAGAGATAAGTGGTGGGTTTAGAGTTGAGAATTGAGAGTTGAGAATTGAGAGACGAGGACCCGAAATCGAGTGATAAGTGATCTTTCTTTCCCCAAACCCAATCATCGTCTATTATTTATTATATAAAAGTACGACACAATTACTTCCGGGATCTCTAAACAATTATTATATTTTACATATTCCAATTAATAACTACTCCTAACTAATTGTTCATGTATTTTGTTTAAATGATACATGTGGACAGTGATGTCACGGATGATGCTAAATGCATCCATTTGAGAAAAGTAATATTATTATATTCATTCGCTACTACCTAATTCCTTTTCTTATTCTTTCTTCAACTCCTATCTATTTTTTTTATTATTTATTATTTATGATAATAGAGCAGAACCAACAAGGAATATAGTCCAACAAGAGGTCAATTGCATCCTCACCGTCGACGTTGACTCACCCCACTAACATCCAACGGCTAGTTGGGTGGGCACAAGGCATCCACGTGGGGCCGCGTGGAAGATGTGTGGCGTACGGTTCGACGTACAAAACTCTTAAAAAATGAATTTTCATTACCCCACCACGTTCGCTAACCGTACCTATCTCCAGATCGTACGACACAAACCAAACCAAACACAAATTTCGCTCACATACTATTAACAGACTATATTAACTAGGGGCTGTCTAGGGTCCGAGAGGGTTGTACTTCTCGGACCATAAATTATTTAATCTTGTACGTAGAAATAGTTAAATTTTAAATCTCAGCCATTGATTTATGTGTACGACATAGTACGATACTAGAGATTTATAATTTAAAGTACGAACCCAGTCAAAACACATCGTACATCATCGTACACACATCGTACTTTATGTAAATTACATAATTAACCTTCAAACTCGAAAGATGAAATCAAAATCTCTATTCTTCCCCAGACATAAAATCTCTACCGATCGAGATTAAAGAATCCCTAATTTCTCCGTTGCTTCATCAACTAGCCGCCGGGGCAGCGCTGGGGGTTAGTGTTGAGAGAATTGCGTTAGTAATTTTGTTCTTTTGATCTATTTCACAGTTTATTATTTCATATGTATATGTGTGTCTGTGTGTAAAACTTGGGCTGCTTAGTTTTTTTTTTTTTTTTTTCCATCTCTGTTGCGTATATCTAATTTTAATAATTTCAACATAAATACCTTATGAGCAATTACATAAAAGATGCACGAACAACAAATCTCGATTTCAGCCATTACAAGTTTACAACAACAAACTACATGTGAATCTAAAATTAGAACATCTGATACAAAAAATAAGAGCCCAAAATTGATTGCTATCAAATCTCCAGTCCACCAATAGTTTATTGTTCTGCACTAACTTCGTAAACTTATGATATTAAGTATAACAAAATTCATTGCAATGACATGTTCTTCTAGACTAACAAAATGTTCAGAAGTAATTCAAACAACAGAACAGCCAAAACAACTCTTATTTATTTATTTATTTATTTTAATATTACAATAAAAAAAAAAAAGGTTGTCCAATAACATATAGTGATTTAACTAAAAACAAATCAGCAACAGAAATTTACAACACTTGGAAATACTTGACAGTGGCTACAAAATGTCGTCGAACCACAAAGTGATGTAGATTATCAAGTGTCTTTGCTCGAATACAATAAAGAAGTTCCTGAGGAAAGATCCGGTGCACTTTCCACGCTAGATCGAGTGACTGGAGGATGTTGCGGGTGCTATAGGCCCCTTAGCGCAACGAATTTCCTTTCAAAAATTTATTGAGGAACTCGTTGCATACTTCAATTAGTAATCCCAATGGCATAGTTCGCATAACAATTAATGTAAAACGAATTAAACAACGAGCATGAAATATAGAAAATGCACAAAGATCTGGTTGTTTTCAACACAAAACAAATTTTAGAATGCTCAAAAATATTGTTAAGAACACAAAATAACCATTAAGACATGCACTAGAGGAGAAATTGCTCTGTACCTCAACATCATAAGGTCCAGAAACATATAAGTTGCTCTAATGTGGGGGTTTCACATTTTCTTTTTCAGTATTTAATAGAGAAACTTTTAGTCATAGAGAAATTTCATCAAACACCTTGACTGTGATACCCACGATTGGATTTTTCTTTTTTGATATGCATATACAAGAACAGATTCACATACTTTCTCTACAAGGAACCCAGAACATCGAACGCCGAAAAGAATCACACGATGAATTCCAGCCCCAGAGAAGTTTGCTAGAAAGGGATTCAACGATCGATGATGAACTTTCTTAAAAGAAATTGATGATAATTTTTTTTGTTTTATGGAGAAAGAACGATTGATGATGATGAATAAATGATGAGAACAATGGAATTAGGTTTAAAGTTTTACAAGAAGTCTAATTAAATTTGACGTAATAGTGTTTTTCTTCATTTAATATGATTTTAAATTTGTTGATTTGTAATTAAGGTTTAGATTATTAATTTTCCAATTAAATTTTGTTTTAATTAAGGGGGCTTTTTCGTAATTTTACTTATATACCAGGGTTCGTACTTTTTTTTGTTGGATACGTACTTATATGATGTGGCAATTTTTTAATGGTTTATTAAGAGGGCTGTACTTCTCGGACCGTAAATTATTTAATCCAGTGCGTTTAAAATTGTTAACTTTTAATCTGATCCATTGATTTTTGTGTACGACCTAGTACGATGTAGTACGATCCTAGAAATTAAAAAATTAATGAACAAACCCAACAAAAACACATCGTACACCATCGTACACATATCGTACTTGATATAAATTACTTAATTAACCTTATAAACTCAAATCAATATAAATTAAAATATGAATTAAGAAATATTATACTAGTCATAATTAATTAACAAAATCAAATGTTCATCCTCAAAACCAAAAATCTCATGAGATCGAAATCTTTTTTGTTCCCGGACAAGTTATCATTTACCTTCTCCAACCTTACGTCGCCACTATCAAGGCGGTGCAGCTTGGCTCAAGGCCACCTGCATCGAGAAGCGTGGGACACTCCGTTGAACTTGCGAGGAACATCGTCTCGTCATAGGGCCTCCCGTTCGCCGATTCTTCAATACACTCACTAAAAAAATCTCCTTCTCCAATCCTGTCAAAACCCTCCACTCTAAACTACTCGCTCGAAACAGTCAATAATGGGTTTCTCAAGTGGAATGTTCTGAGTTCAAGAAAAAACACATAATTGTTTGGAGACGGATGCAATCTCAGTTTTTTAAAGGTTAATAAGTTATTGTCTAATCTGTTGCTTATTTTGCTAACCAAATGTTTGATAGAATGTCTGAGAGAAAGATATCTTCTTAGAAAATTAACAATTGTTGATCAAAGCTTTGTGTTCTTTTTTATTTAACTTTGTACATATTTATTTGTGCCTTTGCTATGACATGTAACAATTGAAATGCTTTGGAAAAATTCTAGAACACCCATTTGAAAAGATTTAAGCTTTTGTAGTGATTTAGAAATCTCATATTCTTGAATGATCTTGTATGAGGACCACTATTTTTCGCTGATTAACAGCCGAATACGTAGAGCAACTGAAAGCAATAGATTCAAACTTTGAGAAAATTAAGAGAAGCAATCTTGCTGCCAAAATGATACTAGTCCACGTACGTTTCAGTGTCATTATTAGCCTTAGGGTGTTGATTTTGGGTATTCGGATAATTTTGGTAATCAACAAGGACATTGAGATCAAATAATAAAATGTGAAGTTTCTACTTGTGACTTTCTGTATTATCCTTTTTTTATTTCATTTCGTATATATTTAGTGAAGCTGCAGAATAATACATCTTCTACATTAGTTTTACATACGAACTTCATAACTACGTTCCATTTTCAGGATCTAGTATTGAGGTTTTCAAGGTTGTTTTGTCTTAAAATTTACATTGCAGAGAAAGCTACTTTTTTTACTTTTTTTTTCTCATAATCAAAATGCATCAAGATTTTAATTGAGATTTACTGCTTTCACACAGAGAAGAATGTAAATAGATGATAAAGTGATAGTTTGATGTGTTGCGAAACTTTGATCTTCCATCTTTTTGCGACAGGCGAGGCGAATAAATGAATTGAAAATGATGAATGATGTTCAAAGTTATTTTGTAGCAGAAGGGTTAGGAGGGATTTTCGTTAGTCATATAACTCGACTTCTTTGCTGTAGATTTCTTATCTAGTGACCATGCATAGGTTTCTTGTACAGGTGGGGTTAGTTTCTTATTTCTAGATACAGTTGGTCATTCCATCAGCCAAAGGCCATAAGTATTCTGATAGGATTGTTCAATTTAGATTTTTTGGTAGGTATTGATAATAATTTTGTTATTTTCGATCAATCTAACTTACTTTGTGAATTTAAGCCTTTTAAAGTGATAAATTTCCTTTTTTTTTTCTTTTTTTTTTTTTACATTGAAATCTCTTGAGTGTTGTCTATAATGACTTACCATGAGGTGCATCATTTTTTTGATTATATATCTACAGGAATCCAAGGATACATAGTAACCAGCTGGCCGGGCTGAAAGAATGACTACTCAATGAAAGAATGTGATTAGTTGCAGAAATCTAGAGGATGTGAGCTATGGGAAGTGATTCAGGCTATTTTGTGAGAAAATGCTGAGACAGACAATTAAATTTTGTTCTTTGATTTTCGAAATATGCAGACAATGTAAAAATCTGAAACGAACACTTTTATTTATTACATGGAGTTATAGATATGTAAATTTTGAGCATAGTATTGAGAGATATAGCTATGTACTTGCTAAGAAGTTGTGACTTTTCTTAAAGCATTTTTGGCATGTTATATTGATTAAATATAATCTGCAAACTCTAGACTAACCCTCTTTGTGTGTGTGTGTGTGTGTGTGTGTGTGTGTGTGTGTGTGAGGGAGTGTAACTCAATTATAATTGCTTGGATCCATATCTCCTCTGCGAAATGGACTGATGGAAATCAAAACATTATTCAAACTTCTTAGTTGAATTATGGTTTATCTAATCCAGTTTCAGTCTTTTGCTTAAAGAGATCCTATTGGAGTTTTTGGTCTGACATGTATAAACTATGTATAACATATGACTTTACTCAATTTGTAAGAATTAGATCGAATAAAAAATGTCAATCAAAAGATCAAGTTGATGTTCAATAGTAAATATACAGATATTTATAATAACATTACCTAAATTCAACATTAAAAACTATATTCATAGAACAAAATATTATCTAAATTAAAATGAAAACAATAATATAAGGAAATACAACTGAAAATGTAGTTCGGAGAATGTTCTCTACACTAGAAGACAGAAATCTTAAGTTTTAAACTTTTTTGGAGCAACAGTATCTCTATGTTCGGACTCAAGCTTGATAATTGACAAGTGTTCAACCTGGCAAACAAAAGATTAAGCAGGTCAACGAAACAAAATAAAATGTTATGTGGATGACAGTGAAAGCAACGTTTTAGAGAAAACATATCCAAAAAACCACATTGCATCTCCTCACTTAACCTATCATGAGATTCTTAAATCCTCGAGTTTCATACAATGAGTCTCTGCCCAAAGAAGAGATGGTGATCATGAGAGAGCCCGAAACGCGGCCCGAAGAAAGAGACGGTCTGAAAGGCAGAAATTTACATACAGTGATTAAGTGATTAATACAGCAAGATGAACGAATAATTTTTTTAATTGGGTGGCATCAGCTCGCCGTCGGCCAGAAAAACCAGTTGTTCTTCAAGAGGAAATCGATGATGATGATGATAATGATGATGATGATGAAAAATGATTAGGGAGATTAGGGTTAAACAATTAAACCATCGTGAAAGGATAAGTCGTATTAGATGTTTTCTTTTTTTAATTTAAAATGATTTTAAATTTTAATTTGTAATTAACTTTTAAATTATTGTTTTTCTAATTAAATTTTATCTTTAATTAAAAAGGACTTTTATGTAATTTTACTCACAAGTCAGGGTTCGTACTTTTTTTACTGGGTACGTACTAATCCTACTTGGCATATTTTTATTGGTTGATTACGGTCCGAGAAGTACAACCCTCTCGGACCCTAGACAACCCCAACTAACTATGGTATGAATAGCAGAACTCGCATTTTTTGACAACTTTGAGTCGTTGAATTTATTTTTTTTCTCGAGCTCGAGCTCAAGTTCATTTTTCTTTATCTTATTAAAAAATATTTAGATTATAATAAAACAAATTCAAAATAAACAATAAACTATAATTATATATATTTTTTTTAATATTTATATATTCCTTTTATATTATTTCTCTGATATTTTATATTATTATACAATTTTTAAATATAAAATAATATATTAAAACAAAAATAAACAAATAAGCCTCGCGAGCGGGCTCGTGAGCTCATGAACAACTAAAAACAAGCTCGAGCTCGAGCTCAAAAAACTCGAGTTAGAGCTTTTTTCGAGCCGGCTCATCGAGCTCACAAGCAGCTCAGCTCGTTTACCACCCCTACTATTAACAGAGTAATTTAATGTGTTAACAATAATATTACATTATGAGACAATGGTTATTGGATCGGAAAATATCTGCGTATCGTTTTCCTCCCCATATCGTATCGTATCATAAGATATTTAACTACTAAAAATAATAATATTTATATATCTACATAATAAAAACACTATAAACATATAACAATTTAATATTTTAAAGTTAAATCACTCATTTCTAAATATATATAATTCAAATTTCAACATTGTATTATAAAATAAGACAAAAGTCATAATTGCACATAATATAACATCAACAAAGTTCAAATTCGAATCCATAATCTCTAAAATATACTGATTTATCACTCATAATGTTCAAGATCCATGTCACTTAAATCTTCTCCATCCACAAGTTTCAAACGATTGTCTTCATCCTTATGTTTGTCAATCTCTTCAGTTTTATCAACTCCAACTTTGGCCTTCCCCTTTTTCTTCTCTTATTAATATCATACTTGGCCTTTAAATTTCTTGAACCTATATATGAAAGAAACACATTAAATAGTATTGCAATCCCTTTCTAGGCCATGATTCTGTGAATATTTTTTTTTCTTATATTAGTTTTTAATATTTTGACTAATATCGTAAATATCGTATTGTATCGTCATATGGCGATATGAAACGATATCTGGCGATATTTTTCGATATTTATGCATAGCTGATACATAGTATAAGTTGTATCGTTTTGATTGGGACTGTATCATCTCGTGATATATATCGCGGTATCTCGCGAGTTTAACTACCATGTCTAAGATAATAATATTAGTGTGTAACAGTGACATAACAGACCAAGACAGTAATATTACTGTGTTAACCACAATATTACTCTGTTAAGTATTACTGTTAAATATTAGTGTTAACACAATAATATTATTGTGTTAACAGTAATATTATTAATGGCGACTAAAAAGTCAGGAAAGATAAAAAAGTCAACGTGGGAGACCGGCTAGAAAAAACGTTTCCGAAAATGAAAAGTTCAAAATATAAATAATAAATAAATAAAGTCACCCCCAAATACGGGGCGTGATGGTCAAAATTATGTTAGGGATATATATATATATATATATATATATATATATATATATATATATATATATATATATATATATATATATATATATATATATAAAATAGTTTTTGTCAGTTGCAAATAAGTGTTGATGGATGAATCTATGTGCAAGATAAAAAAGTAAAATGTCCATTTATTTTACTGAGTTCCATTGTCGTTGGGGTTTGCAATTCGCTCTTCGATTAAATCGCATTGTTTTAACAAAAATATATCCACATTTTTTTGTGTTAAAAATCTTACATACTAGTGAAACCGTGCAATTTACTGCGCTGACTCTTTTTTAAAAATATAGTGAAGTTTAGGGTTGTGAATGGTTTGGATCCATTTATATCGATCTAACAACCAACTCATCCGACTAACTTGTTTTGCTAAAACATTTACTGATCCAATCTTTCTAGGACAGTATGGTCGGCAACCAAATAGTCAGTTGCCCGAATGAGTAAGTTGAAAGGTTAAAAATCCAAATTTTGAAATAAAAATATGCATATTTTGTCGACTGTCGTAATGTCAGTATACTATCATCATTTCAATTCAAAACAGTTAACAATAAATTAAAATGATGAATAATTTGAGATATACCTATATAATTAAGTTCTACTACAAATCAACCCACTTCATTTGTTTACATTTAACATTACTCCTCACAAAAATCATATTGTAAAACACCCCACCTCACTCGTCGCCACCGCCGGACCACCCACCGCCAGCCCGCTGTCGCCACAAAAAAGACAATAAGTCAGAAAATGTGCACCAACATCAGTGATTGAACCTGAGTATATGGAAATATGGAATGGTGAAGTAGTAGTACATTTGTAACTGAATATTATATACTATTACCGGAATAGCTGCCAGCTAATGCGCTTGTTAATATATCATCACATTGCTAGTGTTGTTAAGTCCGCTGATATATTTCAATTAACTTTTAACATATCTTCAGATAAATGTATTTTATTTTTTTGCCTATTTTTTTTTATTCCATTAAATACTTTTGGAAAAAGTACAGTTGGGCTTCTTAAAAACATTGTGGGCCCACACAAGGAAAATAGTACCCCTAAACAAAGAAAAAACCGGATAGACCGGGTCACGGTTGATACATTTTGTCCATTAGTAAGTGTATTGATATTGTACTAATTTAGTACATTTTATTAGTTTTTGGATGTAAACTGAATTAGTTAAATTTAATTGAAGTGAGTTATGACTTGTGACAACACAACATACACTGTCACTGGTTATGAGTGAGATTGCACAATCAAATAAAACTAACAAACAGAGTCATTCAATAGAAAAATATATAGATGGTTTTGAAATATGAGAACAGAATATTGAGATTGTGGACAATGGGTAAAACAGGATTTGGTCACTTAATTAGTTCAACTGACATTGCCCTTTGATTTGGTCACTTGTTAGTGCACAAGTAAACGGCTGAACAAGAAACAACCAACACGAAGCAAACAAAAGACAACTGCTTTTGTGAATGTCCAATGTACAATGGGAAGATCTGTGTTTTTAGTGCACAAACAGTTACTACAATAAACATGAGGCCTAGAAACTAAAAGGTTGAACCTTATAGACAAAAACTTGAGCAAACCCTAATCATGTTATTGCCTAAGCTAAACCCCAGTATTCACATAATTCGAGCCATTATCATATACTGTTCAAAAACAATTTGTGTGGTGCTCTGTTTACCAGACACTAGTATTATTATTAGGAGTCCCGCCCCAACCTCCTCCGGCAGCAGGTTGCTGCTGGATTCCTCCCCAACCTCCTCCAGCAGCAGGTCGCTGGCTTCCTCCCCAACCTTTTGCAGCAGGTGGCTGCATTCCACCCCAACCTCCATCAGCGGGTCGCTGAGATCCACCCCAACCTCCACCAGCAGGTGGCTGAATTCCACCCCAACCTCCACCAGCAGGTTGCTGAGATTCACCCCAACCTCCAGCAGCAGGTCGCTGGGATTCACCCCAACCTCCAGCAGCAGGTCGCTTGGATTCACCCCAACCTCCAGCAGCAGGTCGTTGGGATTCACCCCAACCTCCAGCAGCAGGTCGTTGGGATTCACCCCAACCTCCAGGTCGGTGGCTTCCTCCCCAACCTCCTGCAGCAGGTTGCTGACTTGCTCTCCAACCTTTTGAAGCGGGATGCGGAGATGATCCCCAACCTCCCGCAGCGGGTTGATGCGGAGTTGATCCCCAACCTTTTGAAGCGGGATGCGGAGATGATCCCCAACCTCCCGCAGCGGGTTGATGCGGAGTTGATCCCCAACCTCTTGAAGCGGGTTGATGCAGAGATGATCCCCAACCTCCAGCAGCGGCTTGATGCGGAGTTGACCCCCAACCTCCTGCAGCAGGTCGTTGGGTTGCTTCCCAGGAGGAGCCTACGGCAGCAGTAGCTCCCCAACCTCCTGTAGCAGGTCGCTGAGTTCCTTCCCAACCCCCAGAAAACACATGTTGATTTCTCACATGTGCGGCTTCTCCCCAACTTTCTTTAGGCTTTTTTGCTGAAGCAGCAGCTTTCTCTACTGAGATTTTTTTAATTAACGAAAACTCAGCTTCTCTCCGTCTTTTTCCATTTACTTTTCTCGTTGCCTGGTTTGCTTCATAAGGCAATCCTGCAATTCTGTGCAACTTTGAACTACCTGTCGGAATAATCCCATCTTGACCTTGACCAAACAAAAGTTCCTTCACTTCAACTCCAATCTGCCCATCAATAAACCCCATAATATACTTGATAGATATGTCAATACATTTATAAATCTTTTTCACTTCTGCTTGTCCCACAGCTCGTGCTACATTTTGAGACTGATCGGTAAAATCCTCCACCTGTCAGTCAATCTTGGTATTTTACCTTATGTTTTTATGCATCGTAAAAGTATTGCAACTCTAAAGAATCAAGCCTACTTACACTGATATTTGCAACTTTAGAATCCCAGGTCTTTGATGTCCAACATCCCTTGTATGCGCTTGCACAAATGCCTTTTGCCCAAAGTTTTTCAACAGAAGATAACTGCAAATTATTAAGTTATGAAAACCAGCGAAATGATTTATCTCCATGCAACAACTTCAACTGTAAAACAGTTAATCTAAGATACACTACCGACTAACTTAATAAGTTCCAAAACACAAGTACTACCTTAATCAGTAGAGAGGCGAATAGCTCAGCCAAAGATTCCCTGTTTGGTTTCCCATAATTTACAAAATTACACAGTGATTTCACCACCGTTGCAGGATCAGTACCGTCTGGAGGATTTAGGAAACAAAAACCTCTTAAATACAAGATTACAAAGAAAAATGAGGCACTACTTTATCACATAATGCAACCGAAACACTCTCAAAACTACATTAAATAGCTGTTAGATTCGGAAGTGCAATTTTTTTGACAAAAAAACAAAACAAGACAAGGCAGTAAATCATTTACTGCATGGAACCAGTTACTTGACATCAAAGTAACAACATTACAAACATATAAAAATTATACACGTCCTCTTTTGGAAGAGCATATTACTAAATTATATGTTAATAAAGACAAAATCGAGGCATAAAAAAGTTACTGCATTATTTCCTTAAACAAACACTAAAATAAACTAAAACAAAATACATAGAAACTCAAACTCAAGCCAACCCATGAGAGCTTCATATAGCTTCAATAACTAACATCTAACAAGACAAACGAAAAGCAATCTCCTCCTCGTATGAAAAAAAAGGCTTAAATATTGTAGAACTGTGTTTGCTTGTCTGGCAGTTGGGAACTAAAACAATCCCCAACTGAAATATTTGAAAGCATTTACCTTGATATTTACTCTCAAGCCACTTCATGGTACACTACCACTAATATAAGATAGTGTCTGGCAAAACTGATGATTCCTTCAACTTAAGGTTGACACAAATGCACCATTACCACGAGGGGATATTTAAGCAGTGATTACCTCAAAAACATACTCGAAATTTGACTCTACCATGTCAAGAACTGCCTATTTATATTAATGTAAACTAGATGACCATAGGATCAAATTAAGAACCGAACATAGCTGCAACTTTAAATCAACAGCGGCTATATATATATATATATATATATATATATATATATATATATATATATATATATATATATATGTATATATATATATATATGTATATATATATATATGTATATATATATATATGTATATATATATATATATATGTGTGTGTGTGTGTGTGTGTGTGTGTGTGTGTTTCCGATCTTTACTTGAGCAAAATATGGTAGTGAAGTCTATCGTATATAAAGCGATCAATACAAATGTTCAGAGTTCAGATCTTTGTGGGATGATAGAAATAAAAATGCCATTTCCGAGAGTGACCCACTCAAATTTACAATAAAGATACATTCTTCTAAGTGAACTCTAGGTGCCAGCTATCCTTACTTTAGTTAACAGGCAAGGGGATAGTGACTGCACACATACACACACTTGGAACCAGAACCTGATACTACTTAGTGTTCCCAAGAATATGAAAAGCAAATAAATGAAGTGCAGAGTAATTACCTTTAAAAATGGCAGAAAATGTAGGAAGAATAGGAGGATTCCGAGTCTACAGAAAGAGGATGGGTGGATTGAAAGAAACAGGTAAATCAAGATTTGCCAAAAAAAGGCAAAAGCAAATTAATAATGGCAAAAGCTCAAATAACAATCGGTAAAAGGCAAGCAAGTATCAGCATTGTAATTTCATTCAAAGTCATGCAAATAGAGTTACTCAATCCATACAATGGGATCTTCAAATGTCCCAGTATGTTATGTCATGACACGACACAAAAGCTACTATATCCAAAAACATAAGATAATGTGTCACATACAATAAACGAGGGCTTCAAAAGGAAGTTCAAAACATATGATTTGTTTTGTTTTTCCCTTTCCACTTGCAGTTGCACTTAAATCTGTTGAGCACTTCTACTTTCTGTAGCCAGCACATTATTGTTTTTTTTCTTTCATCTCTTAGTTTTAGGCCATATTAAATCAATATTAGGAAGTGACAGACACTGCATGGAATCATTGTGAAGCATGTTCATCAAAGGATTTACAGTACGGTATATTCTTAAAAAATATATGAAAGTAAAATATAAGACAAACATTTATTTAGGCATTTAAGCCAGGTAGTTCTTGCAGGTGATCATATCGGGGTACAAAGAAGTAGAAAAAGAAATAAAAAGATTAACGGCAAATCTGTAAACTATTATTTTACTTGTATCAAAAGGTAGACAAATATGGGCTACAAAGATTCAACGTTAAGTATCAAACACAGAAAGTGCACATCATGGATTTAGAAATAAGTGTAATTACCTGCAAATGAAAAGCTACCAGTAGTATTATCGAGAGTGAATTCAATGTTTTATCTTTTGAACTGTTAATGTTATGTGCTTTTGCCCAAGTTTTCATCTGCAGAGAGATAAATTCCTGCTCATTAGAACATAAAGAAGCATCTTCTTAATTTTTAAAGAAATATAGGCATATGTAAAGGTCCTTAAATGCACCTCCAATGAAAAAAACATTAGAAATAGAACAATTGAAGTATATATTCAGTTTGCAAAAATCAAAATCATAATCAAAAGCTAAATGGGATTGCATAGAGAGTGCAGATTTATTAGAACTATACATCAGATTTAATGTAGTATATATGGTTAAGAAGGCAGGTTTTTCATGTAATATTTTTTCACTATTTGTATGTTCGTCGTGGTTTCCTAAGAGGCTTTTGATCATATGTTGGAACAATTTTCATAATTGTTGAGGAATAAATAAAATGTAGGCATTAATGTATTGATGTTTTTTAATCCCTATCCATCTTATCTGAATTTGGGAGAGTTACTTGTGCCCTGCAGCTATAAAATCCCCAGTTTCACCCATGAAATTAGTTATGAGAAACTTGATATTTTATCCACTCAGATACCAGCCTTACTCTTTTAATTATTGGGTCCACCTCCAATTTTTGTTTATCCTTTTCCGAGCACTAAATCCATTTCTTCATCATCACAACAAATCAAATAGCATATTAAAGTACAATGTGCTGTCTCTGAAAGCTGCCCTAAGGAAGATGGATTTTTTTAAGTAATAATAACTACTCAAGCACACTAAGAAAACCATGAAGAAAATTAAACACACAGAAATATATGCTTGGATGTAGATAATAATTCAACAGGTATATGAGATGAAACAACCAATAGGTGCACAGGGTTGGTCCTGAGCTTAAATATGGGCTACTAATGTTTTGTCTAATTATTATCACGCCCAGTAAATCCAGGTGATCTAAAATATCAGATATGGAGTCAACCAATCGTAAAAAGAAAATACTCTATGGGTACCTTTCTGTCACTTGATATTGGAAACTAACAAAGTCGACTAGTATTATAACATTTAGCCAATCTAGATAAACCCAAGTCCCAACCTAGACAAAACAGCGCGGAATATGTTTTATGGAATTAGGAGATCAAGTTTTGGTAAGAAAATGATGAATGCCAGACTAAAGAAATATAAAAGACGTGGTGAAGAAAGGCGAACTTTACCAAGAAGCTTAGCTTGTGAAACCTGTCATCAATGGATGAGATGATGTAAATAATCTGGGATTTCAAAATCCCATCTCTATTTTCAACTGATATATCACATTCGACTCCAGTTCCCCGATCAATACATTTCAGAATAGGGACCTTAGCTGTCGTGATTGGAAGAACTCCAGTAACATGCCCTTTACCTAAAAAGCAAGGGAGTGCATATATATATGAGAGTCCAACTTCGATTATTATGGTAAAATGTAGGATAATAATTCATAATAGAATAAAAACGGAATCCATATGGTATGAGTGACTAACAATAGCAACAGATCTCAGAACTGAATTAACATTATTGAGTAATCCACCGCCAAACCAAAAGAAAATAAGCTAAAACTAAATGTGTCTCGAAATTTTAGAAGATCTTTTTGATGCAATACATGAGAGGTAAACAAGTTCTCGACGAGAACAATAAGACCGTCAACGATGAAAGTGTATATTAATGATTCCCATTATTACGATGTAGATCAACTAGAGCTATAACTCAAACAAATTCTAAACACTAAGACTGTAAGAATCAAAAGGGAAAAACGACCCTTTTCACAGGACAGACGTAATGAGTTGGAAAGACCTTCATTATGGAATACCAGTAGCATTTCAGACAACCAACTTAAATCGAGAATCAATAATTACATTTTCCTCTTATCTTTTCATCCATGTTCTCAACTTCATAATACAAAATTCTTCAAAAATTGTTTTTTTACATGACAGTAGATTTTTTAGATAAGCAATTACGCATATATGTTAAAAGATACACAACCTAAACTTTAAACTTAACAACTGAAATGAACTCCCCTATGAGTTTGACTCCTAACATATGTGCAGGAAACCAAGAAAATTGTGCACCAACTTTCAAGAAGCAATATATTTTAAGTTCAGATAGTTAATCGGGATGTAAACATGTGGACATCCTGTAATTTCTGACACTGAACTTTTATTCAAGTGTGAACTTTTGTTATTTACAAATGTTAATGTTAAGAGTCGGAAATTACTGAATTTCATAACAGAACAATAATATGCGCTGTGATGTATATTGGAATCTTCTGTAGTTATATCAGGCTTTCTAGAATTGCTTTGCCAAAAATAATATCCAACTAACATCCCAAAAGGATATGCATACTTTTTAAGGCTTCACAAAACAAGCAAGATATGTATTCAGATGTACATCGGAATATATAATATACAAGCATGACAAATTGCTGAAAAGTTTACTCTGCATAGCATATAGCTTTTTGGCAAATTTTCTGAGTGTCTGAATCTTCTTCTCACGTGGAAAATCAACTGCAGTAGTGCTAAAATTCACGGAGAGATCTAGATCGCTGCTGATGCTGAAGAGATCCATGACAAAAGAACCAAATTCCACCACAACAGGATTTTCTTTAGAGTTGCCTGAAAAGAAATGTATGTGAAGGACAAGAACTAAAAGCGGAAACTATCGAACTAGAAATTAATGATATACTAGAAGAGAGCATGAATCAAGTAAGCAAGTCAACACATAGTGATACAAGAAACATAACTTCTTCCAGAAAATGTTGACGGGCCTTAAAAAAAAATTACCATAAATTTCCTTTGCTATATCGTTAAAGACGCGAATTAAATCTCTTCGAACTTGATAATCAAGTGGTTTTGGGCGACAACTGGCATAAACATCTTGAAAAAGTGGCTCAAGAGACGATATTCCATCCTTAGTTAATTTAAGAACCTGCAACTTCTTCAGTTCAAACCTCTCTGCTTTCTTCTGCAGAACTGAAATTAGAGCACCAAAGCGCATTAGAATCGTGATAGGCATATTAATACTACCAGGGAAAAAGGGTCAGTTGCAAAATTACAAATAACCAATGAATCATTCTATTATTTAGTTATCGAAACATATGAATTTGGCTCAAAAAAGGACCTGAACCTAGTTTTTACATCTATTAACTGCCCCAATTTTGATTCCCCCACCCACGAATTCTCCAACGGAATTACCCAAGTGAGGCATTCATTACTGCAGGTGCAAACGAAAATCGAAAAGCTGACCAAAAAAATCAAAATAAAATCCAAAACATGATCCAAAAATTCCAATCATAAGTAGAGAGCATCAAACTCTAATAAGTAACGTGTACATTCACATACACAAAATACGAATCTTATATTACTGCATATCTATAATTAAGGAAGCAAAAGTTAATATATTATTCTACACACCGATTATTAAACATCAAAATACATGCATATATGTTTGTGAAGGGCTTCAAACACTAACCTTTTGCGCGCAACGCCATACCCCAAAAAAGAAAAAGAAAAAAAAATAATAATCCACTGCTATTTAGCAGCAACAAGAAACGCGAAAAACATGACGGAATATAAATAGGTCAGTGATTTTATAACTTGTTGTTCAATTGAATTTGCCTTTTCATGGGCTTTTTTTTCTTTTCTGGATATAATAAATTGGTGTAGAAGAGGAAGACGGATGAGCAGTTCGTAGACTTGTCGATTTCCTTTATGCAAAATTCATTCCGTAGTAAATACTAAATATTATAGAGTTTATTGCATTTACTACCCATGTGAAAAGTGCAACTGCGCGATTCCCCCGTCATAAAAAAATTAGCAAATACCCCCCTGTGGTAATTAGTCAAAGCTGTATAGGTCCCTGGGGCGAGTTCGTGTTGTTCACGCGTTGTTTTTGCGATTGTTGCTGAAATTTGCTAGAATTTACTGTGTGCAATGACCCAAATACCCTTACACATTGACAGTATTATTTAATCTCTTCACCCTTTTTCTCATTGTGCCCTAGAAAAATGAATTTCATTTATTCTCTTCAATCAAAGTTGAAACACGTGGAATTGTTTTTAACTTTCCTATTTTTCTAACTAAATTTTAATTATTAAATAAATTGTGCTTAGTGGGTTAAGTATAGTAGTTAGTGGGTTAAGTAGTGCTTAAGTGGGTTTAATTGTGAATATTATTCTAACTCCTTAAACTAACCCACTAACCCATTTTCTTGAGTGCTCTTGTGGTTGGTTTTCTTGCAGATCATGGGCTGAGTAGTGGAAGCTTGGAATGTCTATAAATACCGACTTCAAGACTCAAGGAAATTAATCGATTCTACGAAATAAAAACCGAGGGCTGAAGAATATTCACGAGTGTTTTAGAGTGGTTTTAGAATCGGTCGTTTGTACTCTTCAAGAGTATAATCTTTACGTACTCCTTATGAGTACATTCTTTACGTACTTCTCATAAGTACATTCTTTGTAGTCTAGATTGTTTAGTATATATGTTTCTAGACTTGGTTGTAAGAATGATCAAGATAGTGATTCATTCATAAGTTCTGTACGTACTCTTTATGAGTACATTCTTTGAAATCTAGAATTTTTGATATCTTTCTTTTAGTATCTAGATTTGGTTGTAAGAGTGATCTTGAAAAAGATTCACTCATAAGGAAGAAGTTTTCGCACTCTTCTGTTTGTATTCTTGGAATACTGATTTTAATATATTTTTCGTCCTGTAAAGGGCAAGTTCACAAGTCTTTACTTGTGAACATTTTTAATTCTGAGTACTGTCTTTTAATCTTTATATTTCCGCTGCATGTTGTCTCAAGTGTCACAACATTTCAGATAACATCTCTGTATAATACGAATTCGGGACCATAAATTCTTTCAATTGGCATCAAGAGCCAACACTTGACGTATACTAAGTGTTTGTTCCTATTTTTCTTTACAGAAACGAATTCGTGATGGATACTCAGATGACTGCTTCTATGCGACCTCCTGTACTTGATGGCACAAACTACACCTACTGGAAAGTCAAGATGAGGGCGTACATCAAAGCCATTGATGAGAGAGCCTGGAGATCTATTCTCACTGGATGGAAGCCACCAACTATCACAGACGTGGACGGGGATGTGTTTCCAACTCCAGAACTACGGTGGACACCAGATGATCTTGCAAATGCTAACCAAAATTCAAAGGCGTTAAATGCAATTTTTAATTCAGTAGATTTAACAATGTTTAAATTAATCTCTGTATGCACCTCTGCGAAGGATGCTTGGGAAGTTCTTCAGCTACATTGTGAGGGATCAGATAGTGTCAGAAGAACCAAACTCAGATTACTCTCTTCCAAATTTGAGAGACTGAGAATGGAGGAAACTGAAACAATTTCTCAGTACAATGAGAAGTTGATTGATTTGGCTAATGAATTTCATTTATTCGTTCAAA